CATCATTTTCTGTGTGCCATGATAGGGAGTAGGTTGGGAAGGACTGATGTATAAAGCTGTTGGATAAATAATTCTGAAGCTCAGCAGAGAGATCTGGACTATGGATAAGAGATTTGTGAGTCATCACAACATCAGATCATAGGCGGTAACTGAAGCCATGGAGTGGAGATCATGAAGGAGAAGAGGGTCTGGAGCAGAACCCTAAGGAGCAGCATCATTAGAGGGGTCTCCAGAGAAAGATCAAGACAACTGGCTGACTGCTGTCACTAGAGCCCAAGAGGTTTCCAAAAAAAGACCAAGTAGGGCCAGCCCTGGTGGCCTAGTGGTTAAGTTCAGCACACTCTGCTTCAGTGGCCTGGGTTCAGTTCCCAGGCATGGACCTACACTGCTCTGTTATTGGCCATGCTGTGCTGGTGGCCCACATACTAAAAAATAGAGGAAGACTGGCATGGATGTTAGCTCAGGGCAAAGCTTCCTCAGAAAAAAAAAAGAGACCAAATAGTTCCCCATACTGCTGATGTCAAGTTGGATCAGGACTGAGACATACCCGCTGATTTTAGCCCCACATCATTGGTGACTTCGGCAAAACCAGATTTTGAAGGGTTAAAAAAGATGTATAACATAAGGAATGGAGACAAGAAGTGTTTAAAACTCTTTCAAGAATTTTGGCTATGCTGTGAGGGAAAAGTTAGACAGGTGGGCAGGGCAATGGGGATGAGAGTTCTTTTAGATAGTTATTTTTAGAAAGACATTACTTAATTTTATTAAACTTTTTTAATTTAAAACTATTTTTTAAAAGCATTATGTGTATATGGTTAGAAAATCAACTAATATAGAAGCAATTATTTGCTGCATTTCCCACCCCAACAATGAACCATTTTACCTTTTTGGCTGATTCTTCGATATGAATAAATATGCTTATAGTGTTCTTTGATTTTTCACTTTTACATGTTTTATTACCTTCCATATGTATATTCTTTTCAAAAGGTACCAAAGTGGGATCTTACCATTCATACTGTTCAGCACCTTACTTCTTGCACTTAAAATATCTTGGAGACCTTTCTGTGTTAGTATATATAGATCCACTTTGTTCTTTTTAACAATTGCATTGTAATCCATTTATGGCTGTACCATATTATTTGTTTCCTACTGATGAGTATTTAGGCTGCCTCCAGCTTTTCACTTTCATCAACCAACTGTAATGGATAACATTGTACACACATCCTTGCATGCTTGTGTGAGTATATCCACAAGATAAACTCCTAGCAGTGGAATTCCTGGGTATGTGCAGTATATGTCTTGACAAATATTGACAAATTACCTCCCGAAATGGTCATGCTAATTTCTATTCCCTCTAACAGGGTATAAGAATACCTTTTTCCCCCACATTCTCACCATCACTGTGTAAAAATTTTGTGAATACTGTTCTAAGTGATGAAATGTTCTTTCATTGTTTTTATTTGCATGTAATTAATAAGGAGGAAGACTGAACAAGTTTCCAGGTGTTTATCTGTCATTATCATTTTCTGTGACCATCTTTTTCTAATAGATGTATAAGAGTCGTTTGTATTATGTATAATTAAATTCCCCCTTTGTTTGTCACAGGTATTGCAAATTGTTTTCCTAGTTGGTAGTTTGTCATGTGACTTTACTGGATTTTTCCTTTTTTTGCTTTAGGTAGTCAAATTTATTGAACTTTTCCTGTACGGCTTTTGGGTTTTTTATGTTTAGAAAGTACTCCACTTTTTAAAATTACCTTTTTTCTCCAGTATGCTTATGGTTCTCTTTTTACTTTAAATATTCCATCCAGACTCTACTTAAATGGCGAAGATTACTGTTACTTCTCACTACTGCTCAGAAGGACATCTTCATTCTGGCCAAAGATATTCTCACGGTCTCCAAGGGTTCTCATAGGCCATTGTGTAATCATTGCCTTCTCGGTACCAGCTTTCATCTTTATGAGCACTATTTACACATCTTATTTGAGACTGCTACAGACTTGAAATACAGTGGTTCCTCCCAACAGGTCAGGTAACTGCTCAACCAACAGAAATGTTCGTTGGGAAGAGGTGAGGCTCAGATGCTGAAGCATCCCCCAAAGCTTTTAATGACTGAAAATTCCTCAGTTAACCATGTAGATGGAGCCCCAGCCTATTCCTTTAGTCATCAGGACCATTTTCTGCCATCAAGAAGTTATCTGGGACAGGTGCCACTTGGCTTGTAGCCTAGTCTCATTGTAGTCAGGGCCTCTGTGTTAGTTTCTTGTTCCTGCTGTAACAAATCATCACAAACTTAGTGGTTTAAAACAACACAAATTTATTTTCTTACAGTCCGGAGGTCAGAAGTCTAAAATCAAGGTGTTGGCGAGCTGCATTCCTTCTCGAGGCTTCATGGGAGAGTCCATTTCCTTGCTTTTTCTAATTGCATTTCTTGGCTCACAGACCTTCCTTACATCACTCTGTTTGCTTCTGTCATTACACCTCCCAGTGTGGTCACATCTCCCTTTGCCTCCCTCTTGTAAGGAGACTTGTGATTACATTCAGGGCCCATCCTGATAATCCAGATTAATCTCCTAATCTCGAAGTCCTTAATCAAGATCCTTAATCTACACGACTACACATTTGCACACATCTAGAAAGTGCCTTTTGCCATCTAAGGCAGCATTCACAAGTTCTAGGGGTTAAGATGTGGACATCTTGGGGGACAGTTATTCAGCCTGTCACAGTCCCATACACATTCCTTTGCATCAGCTTAGTGAAGGGAGAGAGCACAAGCAGGGTCACAAAAGGTTTCAGAGTGTTCTTAGGATCAACAGAGAAGTAGGTAAATTCACATCTGTAACCACTGTGATCCCTGAGACCATTTCCACCAGCAATGATCACTCCCTCCCAGCATTGCTTCCTTTAAAATGCTCTGTAGTGCTCAGCTGAACCCCTTACTTCCTTATCCTAAAAAGCAAATTATTAAAGATAGTAAGATGCCAGTTTTCTACAGAAATGAGATGCTTTTCGCGTAAGCCTTTGATCTAACAAGCACAGTTGTGGTCTATGGCATGCTTACTGAGTGTAATAGCATCTTGTTTTTGTTTAACACTCTATATTCTGCAAAATACCTTCACATCTTTTAGTTCATTTGGGCATAGGAAAAAGAAGGTCTTGTTATTTCAGTTGGGCAAATCAGTAAACTGAGGCTCAGAGAGGTTAAAGTTCTGTTGTCTGGCACATGGTGCTTTATTATTATCTTTTTTTTGTTTTCTTTTCTCCTGTTTCTAACCAGACCTCTTTTGGTTTCTCTTTTTTCCTCTCACTCAATAAGTATTAGCAGCTCTCAGACCTAAGACCTGGTCCCCTCTTATCATATTTACTTATTTTTGGAATTTACTACTTATTAAATATGAATCACCTATATGAATGACTTCCACATTTTTATATCTAGTTTTGATCTGCTGTCCTCTCCCAAGCCATCAATAATCAAGGCCTTGAAATGGACAAAGATAAGTTGGGCTTGAGGAGATCAGTCTTGCGGTGGTGGGAAAGAGGCATATAAACATCTATAATATGATGAGGTAAATACTGTAATAGAAGTTTCTATGAAAAGTCCCCACTAGAATGTAGTAACAAATGCAAAGTGCTACAGGAGTTGGGGAAGATTTCTGAGAAAATATAGCATCTGGGCTGCCTTTTAGGACAAACAGTTCAACTAGGTGCAAGGGGAAAGTTGAGGGAGAGAGAAGGGAAGCAGAAGGAGTTTGTGCTAGTCTCAGAGGTATGAAAGGACATGGCAAGTCTGAGAGGGTGGTAGGTGAGAAGTTCAGCGTGGCTGGTGGGTAGAGGAAAGGCATGAAGACCAGTACTGTCCAACACAACTTTCTGCAACAATGGAAATGTTCTATATCTGTGCTGTCCAGTAAAGTCGCCACTAGTCACATACGGCTACTGAACACTTGAAATGTGGCTAGTATGACTGAGGAGCTGAATTTAAATTTTATTTCATTTTACTTAATTTAAATTTAAATAGCAAGTGGCTAACTTATTGAACAACATTGGGTGAGGCAGTGGATAAAGGACAGGACTCTTGCTACTAGGAAACCAGTGAAGGTTGTTAAGCATGATACCAGCATAGCTAGCTAGCTGAGAAACAACACTGGAAGCAGAACAGAGAATGGACTGGAGGATAGATGCCTTAACACAGAAACCGCTGAGAGGCGCCAGCCAGACGGGTGGGATAAACAGGACTTCCATGTTATGGGTAGAATTTACTGGACTTTCTGACTATTTTGATGTGGGGAGTATAAGTGAGGACAGTCAGCTGAAGTTTGTAGCTTGAGCAATGGGTGGATGCCAACAGCTGAGATAGGATTAGGTTTGGAATGAGGGTAATGAGTTTGCTTTTGGGATATGTTGAATTTGAGGTGCCTAAGAACCATCTAGGGGGATATGACTACAAATCGGAAAAAACATTAATCTGTAACTGTGAAGGTGGGGCTACCAATATATTCTGGGATTATTAGCATATATGTAGTAAAGGCATGGGAGTAGAGGAACTCACCCCAGGAAAAATATGAAGAGGACTGGATGGACCCTAAGGAACTCTAAGCAATCAAATGGTGGAACTGTGGTCTATTTCTGCTCGCATCAGAATCATCTAGGGTGCCTGTTAAAAACAGATTCCTCATTGTGAATGTATTTAATGCTGCATAATTGTACACTTAAACATAGTTAAAATGAGGGGCCGGCCTGGTGGCGCAGTGGTTGGGTTTGCACACTCCGCTTTGGTGGCCCAGGGTTCGTAGGTTCGCATCCTGGGCATGGACCTATACACCACTTATCAAGCCACACTGTGGCGGGATCCCATATGGAGAATGCTGGAAGACTGGTACAGATGTTGGTTCAGTGACAGTCCTCCTCAAGCAAAAGAAAAAGAGGAAGATTGGCAACAGATGTTAGCTCAGGGCCAATCTTCCTCACCATAAAAAAAAAAAAAGGTAAAATGATAAACTTTATGTTACATGTATTTTACCACAGTAAAAAAAAAAGGAAAAAAACAAATCAAACCAAACCAAACCAAAAACATTCCTAAGCCCCATTCCTGACTGAACCACTGTTTCTGGAGATGAATTCAGGACTTCCAGGTAATTCTTATCCAAATTAAAATTTGAACCAATTGCTTAAGGAGTAGAGAGAAACTAAAAGATAGGAAGAGAATACATGGAAAATGGTTCAGGAAGGAGTCAACAGTGTTGAATGGTGCCATGGCCCAGGAGGAAGACTGAAGAGGCCCAAGAATTTGGCACTCAGGTGGCCAATGATGAATGGGAGGTGAGTGAGCAGAAGCTGTCGGGTCTACTCTTCTAAGAGCTTTGCTCACATTTGGTGGTGAAGAGATGGAAGGAAAGATTGCATAAGATTGAGGGGGAGATAAGATATAGGAAAAGTTGATGGTTTTGAAGAAGGGAGAATTGAGCATGTTGATAGCTGGACAGGAAGGAGTCAATAAGGCCAAGGAGATACCAAGGGGATCCTCAATAAAGCACAATTTTGGAGAGGTTGGGATCAGGAAATTAGGCAGAGGTTATTTGGGGAAAGGCTCACTGGCTTAGTTTAGAAGTGAAAAGGTGAGAAAATGAAGGGGTTCAAGACTGAGTGCAAAAAAAGACTTCCTGACACAGCAAACCAGAATGGCACTAGTTGGTGGTTAGGTCATCTCCTTAGATTAATGGAGCAGGGACAGTCAAGAGCCTGCAGAAGGGTAAGTCTGGAAGAGTCACTATGATAAAAGTGATCAGGAGCAGCAATATAAAAAGATTGAAAAGTAGTATTGGAGTCTAATTGAGATTGGAAATGGCACCAACTGTTACACAATTATCTTGCACAATATAGAAAAATCAGTTTTCCTAAATGAAGGTTTTGGTTCCATCCTCCTATTGTTCAGAGACTGCACTGGCTTCTGCTCTCTCGTGCATAAAGTTCAAATGCCTTATAGGAATTTTTACTAACTTCTCCATCAAGAAGTCCAACCTCTAATTGGTGGTTCAGACTCTCTTGTTCCCTGCTCCTCCTTCTCTAACTTCAATTCAGAAAATAAAAAGATCTTAGGGATTCTGAAGCTCATCAACGCAATCTCCCTTCTTTGCTAGGTATGTCTGGTTTTTCTATCTTATTTCCACCAAACAAATCTTTCTCCATCTTCCACTTTCCCTTAGGTTCAACTCACAGGCGTTTTAAAAATCAAAACCTGACAGACATGAGTAACACCTATCCCACAGCATTTATGCTGTAGTCAGCCAATTGTAGACTGCATTTTATGCATGCTTCCCTGCACATATTCCCCACCCGTCAGCCATATTGGTGTCCCCCTCTCCCCCATATTGGTGTGCTTTGGCAGAGGACACTGACAAAAAAGTCCAGAATTAACTGACTTGCTGGCATGTTTTCTGTTCTGAGCTTGAGTGACATTCTTTTTCTTGAGCTGAAACTCCCTGGATAAAGTGGTTAAAAGCAGAAGTTTCTTATCCACCCCAGATTCATAGGACATTCTCAACCATATTCAAGTCACTTTTATTATATATAATACATAATTATATATATAGTATACAATCCCACTTCATTCATTTCATTTTTACCAGCTGGATTTTGGGTTCATAATTTAAACCTGGTAAACATCTTTTCAATGCCAGTCAATGCATCTTGGTTAGTATCTGTATCTGTTGTGCCGAGCCTGGGCATATTGGAGACTTAACCTGCTCAGGAAAAATAAGATGTTTTCCTACTAACCCTCTCCTTGAGCCAGGCCAATGACCCTTTATTCCAGATTGTATTGTGAGGTTTTGCCCGAAGGCAGGACAAGTAAGTCCAGAAGAAGCCAGATCAGATTCAAGGAGCCCAGAGAACTGATACAATCTAAGGCTAGCCTGGTCTAAGTCTTTCTAAATAACCACCAAAAGCAGCTCCTTCCATATCACAGAACCAGGATCACTTTTTCTAGGCATTCTCAATCCAGACAGATCGGCTCGCTGCTCCACAGATGCATTCTCCGCAGGGATCATCCCAAACAATGGGGAACAGATACTGATCCTTTCATCTGCATGTCTTGGACATTTTGTCAAAAGCCTCTGCCAGGTTTTGTGGCTGCCTAACTATCAGGAGTTAAGGAAAATGAATTTAATTCTTAGTATAAAACCCTTCAATATCTCTTTCCTCATCTTCCCACCCTCCCATCTCACTGTCTCCAGAATCTTAATCTGTTCCTTTCTTTCCCTTCTTCCAGCAGTGATTCAGGCATTGGATGAGTCTCTGTGGTTTGTTTTGCCCTGAAGAGCAGAAGACTTCGGTCCCAGCTGGTGTTGCCAAAGCAGCATACTAATTCCATGCCATGGTCCTGGGTCAAGATCTGCACAATCTGATTGGCCATATCACCTCGGATGGCAAGGGAGCGGAAGTGGTCAAAATCATGGAAGCCTAGCTTCCGGAGACGCCTTGCAGCTGCCCGGTAACACTTCCAGGGCTGTGGCTCCACAAGGAGGTAGCGGCAAAGGGAGGAAAGGTGGGCCAGGAACTCCCAGAGGCCATGGTCTCCATGGTTCAGATGAATCCACATGGTTATCGACATGCAGAAGCCAATGTCAAAGATTGAACGTCCAAACTGGCTTAAGAAAGAACTCAAGAGAACTTTCCGAGTCCTTTGGTTCATGAAGTCCAGGGTGATAAAGGTCAAGGCATCAGGAAAAGGGCATTGTTTTTCAGCTCTCTCCACCAGGACTGGATCTATGTCACAGCAGAGGAAATGGAGTTCTCTTGAGGCATCTGAGCAGGTCTCCCCATCACGTAGGGAAAGGAAATGTTTGTATAGAGCCACACTCAGATCCTAGAGGAATCCAAAAGAGCTTTGTCATTGCAGCTCTCAACCAGTGAATGGAAGAGAAACCTCTATCTTTTATCCTCCCACTGAGACTGCCACTTACTCTTGGCTTTATAGGATGTGAGGCTCTTAAACTATAGCCTAAGGAGGTTACCCAAAAAATTTTCCCCAGAGCAGGCTCTCAGGGCCCTCCTGGGGTCTCAGGTTGAGATGCATTCTCTCTCTACGCCCCTGACACTGATGGTGGGTTGGGTTGTATAGCTGAAAGCTACAGTCCAATGTGTGAAGCACAGGAGCCTACAGCAGTATTTTCCAGCTTAAGTAATATGCTGGTAGACTCACTACTTTTTCTTTTTGGGGGCATCTCAGACCCCAGGGACAAGTAAAGGGTTCAACGGGCATAACCAGTGTTCCTTACCAGCAAGGTGGAATAGAGTAAGCACCATCTTATAAAAACCTGCTTCTCAGGCCTGTGGTTGGGAAAGTCTGGATTCCAAAAAGTCCTCCTTCAGCCTTCACTCTACAGCTTCAGTTTTACTACCTGTCTTATGCTTCACCACCCCCTTCTGAGACTTATTCTGCTTCTGCATCCACCACTCCCCAGTCACTGCTGGCCTCCTTCTAGCCAAATCCAATGATTTCTGATTTCCACCATCTTAGCAGCTTTTTGATTCATCTCCCTTCTTTAACTTTGACTTCTATAACCATTGTAACTAACTCAAATTTGTGTTGTTCTAATCCACTTTTTCCAGGCATTTTCCTATTTACTACCTCATTTGCTCTGTGCAACAATCCTGTAAGGAATATATTTATGCCCTTTGTGCAGGTGAAGAAAGTGTGGCTGGAAACAACCCAGATGTCCAATAATAGTAGTGTGGATAAATAAATGTGGTATATTAAGATGGAATACTAAATAGTAGTTGAAAATGAAGTAATTCAGCTCAGTGTTGCAACATGGATGATTCTCACAAATATATAATGCTGAGTAAAAAAGCAAGACACTAAAGAAAATACATAGCAAGCTTCCATTTATATGAAGTTCAAAATGGATAAAAGCAAACCACATTGTTTAGGGATATAAAAATAGTAAGCTATAAAGAAAAGCAAGGACACAAAAATAATAGAAGTCAGGCTAGTTGTTACCTCTGGGTGGAGAGGGTTTATGAATAGGAAAAGGCATATGGGGGACTTCTGGGGTGCTGACAATGTTTTATTCTTGATCTGGACAGTGGTCATAATGGTGTCTGCTTTATAACAATTTACAAAGTATAAATTTATGTTTTATACAATTTTCTCTAGGTGTGGCATAGTTCCCTCCAAAAAACCTGTATTTTATTTATTTATTTACTTTTAAAGATTGGCACCTGAGCTAACAACTGTTGCCAATCTATTTTTTTTTCTTTCTGCTTTTTCTCCCCAAATCCCTCCAGTACACAGTTGTATATTTTAGTTGTGGGTCCTTCTACTTGTGGCATGTGGGACACCGCCTCAACGTGGCCTGATGAGTGGTGCTGTGTCAGTGCCCAGGATCTGAACCAGCGAAACCCTGGGCCAACACAGTGCAGCGCTCGAACTTAACCACTCGGCCACCGGGCCAGCCCCAAAACCTGTATTTTAAAACTTATGGTTCAGAGCTAGTGACTTCTCCAATGTCACATGGTTAGTACACGGCAAGATCTAGGCCAAATTAGGTAGTTTCTTCTATACTAGTCTTCTCACACTTTAACAGGCATATAAATCACTTAGGGATCTTATTAAAATAAAGATGCTGATTTGGTGGATCTGGGGTGAGGGCAGAGATTCTGTATTTCTAATAAGCTTCCAAATCATGCCAATGCTGTAGTTCAAGGACCACACTTTGAGTAGTAAGGTCCTATACTATGCTGCTTAGTTTTCTCCTCATCACTCTCTTTGCTGTCTCCCTCTTCCTATCTGATCTTGGGTGTCCCCCACATCTGACCAGTCATTTTGTCACATCAGTCCCTCCTCCACCACATCTCTTCATCTGCTCCATCCTCAACTCCCCAATCCTAGGGTCCCTTGGAAGCTTAAAAAAAGAAAATACAGGGGCCAGCCCAGTGGCATAGTGGTTAAGTCAGAGTGCCCTATTTTGGTGGCTTGGGGTTCACAGGTTTGGATCCTGGGAATGGACCTACACACTGTTCATCAAGCCATGCTGTGGCGGTGTCCCACATACAAAATAGACTGACACAGATGTTAGCTCAGGGCCAATCCTCTTCACCAAAAACAAAAAAACCCAAGAAAATAGACTCAAGGGCTCAGTACCCCCAAGATCCTCATTTGGTAGGTCTAGAGTGGGGCCTAGGAGTTTTTAAAATTTACACAAAGCACCCCATAAATTGTGGCACATCTATACAATAAAATATTATGAAGCTGCTACAAAAGAATGCAGTGACATGGCTATTCTCCAACTTATTAAATGAAAAGCAAGTGCAAACCAGTGTGCTACTATTTGTAAACTAAAAGATGTGAGATCTTTATACATACATAAACGCTTGTGTACACATAGGATACATACCTAAGCAATTACAAACAGCAGTTGCCATTGTGTAGGGAAAAAAGGAGGATTTAGGGTCAGGACTAGAGACTTACTTTTTACTATATGCCCCTTTGTATTTTGAATTTTTTCATTTTATTAAGTGTAAGCATTTTTTAAGTGCAAAATAAAAAGCTCCCTAAATGAACAGCTAGGTTTAGGAACAGCTGACCTAGTTATAGAGGCAACTGTGTCCTTGCCTCTTAATGTGCATATATAAATATACTACTCTCAACTTTGAAATCGCCCGTGGTTTCCTAATGCCTTTCATGAAATCCCAAGCCTTAAATCCAATCTTTCTTTTCCATTGCTTTTCCTCTCTGATTTCCCGTATCATCCCCATAGAGAAATGTTTGCAGGGGATACCCAGACACCCACACATCTGCTCATTCCAGCTTTGAGTCTGTATCCAAATGTCCCCCTCCCCTTTATCAGCTGTGTCCCTATAGCCTTCAAGCCTCCACCAAAGTCTCTTCTGCCTAAGGCCAGCAACCCAATAAAATTCTCCTTACCCACTCCTGCTCCGGGTCTGGAATGGAGGGAGGGCACTAACTTTCGATGCATTTGCAACCATAGGTTCACAATGCCTTCTTTTCTAGGATATCTAGTGGCTACAAATAGGTGTCAGAGGGACATTCCGCTGTTTTGCATGTGGTTTAACTACAATCGTTCATTATACGCCTAAGAATACTTTGCGGTAAGATGTGGCAATGCTTTCCTCTGGCAGGATGCTGTATTTTTCTTCTCGATCCTCTCCACTGTACTCAGTCAACTCACTGCTTTTTAAATAAATATCCACTTGGCTCCAGCATGCGTCGTGCACTGTACGGCTCACGAATCTTAATCCCGGACATGATTCAGTCAGCCCTGGCTCATTTTTCCCAGTAAACCCGTCCCAAGCCCATGCTCCCAAACGTGGGTCTCCGGAAGCACCCCCTTCCCCAGCCAGGTCGCCAGCCACGCTGGACAGGAGGCAAACGCAGGAAGCCCAAATACGGTGCCCTCCCCCAGCCCCCGCACCAGGGGAGTTGGCAGAGGGCGAACGCAGAGAGGGGACGCGGGAACTCGGAACGTAGTTGAAAATGACTCCTCTCCAAGGTTCCCGAGAGAGTTGGCGGTGGGGCCCTGGAGGTCAGGGAGCAGCAGCACCGGGTCGGCCAACGCTGCGCCTTTCAACTCATTTGGGGAAAGCTGTGACGGGTGTGATGTCACATCCAAGCCAGACGCCCAGCGAACGCGGAGGAAGGCCACCGCTCGGCTCCCGCACCTCCGATCCCTCCCCCGGCACTCACCCCGGAGTTACACCCCACGTCGAGCCCCAGGATCGGTCTCATCTCCGGACTCTGCGGGAAGAGCCGGCGAAGGAGCTCCGGGGGCAGGAGGCGGAGCCGCTGCTCGGGAGGGTGGAAGCGAGAATAATGAGGGAAATTTCCGAAAGGGGCGGCCCCGGGCTCCAGGATTCGCCGTTCGTCTTCCGCCGAGGCCTCCTCAACGGTCCCGGTAGCCTGCTTCCCGGACGCCGCCATTAGCCTCGGTCTGGCCTCCCGGTCCCCGCGGAACCGGAAGTCGGGTACTTGCGGCCGGAGGAACGCGGCCGCGGCGCCTGCGCGCGTGCGCTGAATGCAGAGGAGAGTGGGGATGAAGGCTGGCGTCTTCTGAGCAAGCGATGACGTCGGGCCTGCGTCGCCTTGTGGAACCACAACCTAGGAGGTGGTTAGTAATATTATCAAGCGCAGACAGGTTAAGTCACTTGTCCAAGCTGACATAATTTCAACCATGGGCTAGTCAGAACAAGGAGTTCCTTGCGATGTTGGAAGTCAATTTTGGCCCAACTTCTTCCTTTACAAATGCATTGAGACCCAGAGAGTAGAAATTACTTGTCCAGGGTCACACAGCGAATCTGTGATAAAGGAACTTGTACCCCTTCACCGCGTGGTTCCAGGAATGGGTAGCAGGAGCTACAGGTCACTTGAAGTGCCGCAAGACCCGGATGTCTCTGCCTGCCAAGTGGGACAGGTGCATAGGGGCAACTGTAATCTGTGAGCTCCTTGAGAGGCGAAAACTAAGGGTTTTACATATAATAACTCACTTAATCCTCACCTTAACCCTGTGGGGAAAGGGCCATAATTATGATTTCTTTTATATATGTAAGGATATTGAGGGACGACGAAATTGGTAACCTGCCCATGGGCACTCAGTTAGAAATGATGGTACCAGGATTTCAACCCAGGCAGTTTGGCTCCAGACGGTGAGCTTGCAACTATTACGTGTGTTATTCTTAGCTTTGAATCCCCTTTGCCTACCATAATGCCTGGCCCAAAGATGCTCAATAAATATTTGTTGAATGAAAACTCAGTATCAACAAATGGTGTTAGGAAAATGATTATTCATATGCAAAAGAATGAAAGTGGACCCTTATCTTACACAAAAATCAACTCAAAATAGGTTAAGGACTTAAATGTAAGACCTGAAACTGTATAACTCCTGGAAAGAAACAGGGGAAAGGAAGGCTTCCTGACATTGATCTTGGCAACGATTTCATGGATATGACACCAAAAGCACAGACAGCAGAAGCAAAAATAGGCAAATGGGACTATATCAACCTACAAAAGAGTCTGCACAGCAGTGGAAACCACTGATAGAATAAAAAGGCAACCTATAGAATGGGAGAAAATATTTGCAAACCATATATCTAATAAGGAATTAATTTCCAAAATATATAAAGAACTCCTACAACTCAATAGCTAAGAACTAATAACATGATTAAAAAATGAGCAAAGGACTTTAATAGACATTTCTCCAAAGGAAACATACAAATGTCCTACAGGTATATGAAAAGATGCTGAACATCACTAATCACCAAGGAAATGCAAATCAAAATCCCAATGAGATATCACCTCAGCCCTGTTAGGATGGCTATTACAAAAAAACAAAAAGACAACAAGTGTTGGAGAAAGTAGAGAACCCTTCAGACACTGTTGATGGGGATGTTGAATGGTGCAGGCTTTATGGAAAACAGTATGGAGGTTCTTCAAAAAATTAAAAGAAGAACTACCATATGATCCAGCAATCCCATTTCTGGGTATTTATCCAAAAGAATTGAAATCAGAATCTTGAAGAGATATTAGCATTCCCATGTTCATTGCGACACTATTCGCAATAGCCAAGATGTGGAAACAGCTTAAATGTTCATCAACAGATGAATAGTTAAAAGAAATGTGGTATATACATACAATGGAATATTATTCATCTTAAAAAAGAAGGAAATCCTGCCGTATGTGACAACATGGATGAAACTTGTGGACAATCTAAGTGAAATAAGCTGATCATGAAAGGACAAATACTGCATGATTTCACTTATATAAGGTATCTAAAATAGTCAAACTCATGGAAACAAAGAATAGAATGGTAGTTGCTAGGGGCTGGAGGGAGAGGGAAAGGGGAAGTTGCTAATCAACGGGTATAAAGTTTCAGTTATGCAAGATGAGTAAGTTCTGGAGATCTAATGTACGACATTATGCCTGTACATAACAATAACATTTTGTACACTTAAAAATCCATTAGGGGCCAGCCCGGTGGTGCAGCGGTTAGTGCGCACGTTCAGCTTCGGCGGTCCTGGGTTCGCTGGTTCGGATCCCGGGTGTGGACATGGCACTGCTCATCAAGCCATGCTGTGGTAGGCATCACACATATACAGTAGAGGAAGATGGGCACAGATGTTAGCTCAGGGCCAGTCTTCCTCAGCAAAAAAAAAAGAGAGAGAGAAAGATTAGCAGCAGATGTTAGTTAGCTCAGGGCTAATTGTCCTCAAAAAAAAATCTATTAAAAGGGTAGATCTCATATTAAGTGTTCTTCCACAATTAAATAAAATTTAAGGAAACAAAAACAAACTCAGTAGAGGATGCAAGTAGGTGACTAAAAGCCAGGTCTGTTTTGGGAGAGCTAAAATGTAAGGAAGAAAGGATCTGAACTGAAACAGGCATGGTGGAATGGTGAGAGGTAAAATGTGGGCTGAGCCAGAGATAGGAAAAAAGCAGAGCTGGTAAGGAGAGAAACTGAGGGGTCAGCCTAGGTAGCAGGTTCAAATCAGAAGCCAGTATGGCCCAGAATATCCTACAGGTTCAGCCAGGGGTCAGCAGAGTTGTACTGACTGCTCTCCACCTGGCTAGCCATTTTAAAGGGGCCTCCTGCTACATTGAGGCCAGCAATTTGCTGAACTTCTTCTAAGGGACAGAAGCATGGCCCTTGCAGACAGTGCCATCAGAGGTTAAAATGGGCTCTGTCTCTTTTCCACCTAGTTTTTACTTCATGCTTTCAAGTCTGCCTGATCTATTTGGAGACATAAGTTAATGACCAAAAGTCACAGTGGAATTGGGTGAACCACAGTACTCTGCACAACTGCTAGAAAAGGGTGGGAGGTGGAAACAGCAGCACTAGTATCATTTCTCTCCCCATTTCTCTCTACCAAAATAAGATTTTGGTGACCCAAGCTTTTTGCTTTTTGTTGCTAGATGATCCTAGCATAAACACTTGAGAATTCTTAATTTTCAAGGAGCTGGCGTCACCTTGATTTTGTAAATACTTTTCTGTTTGCTTGTTAAACACAGTATATTTCTTTGTCAGTAAAGTGTTTAATTTCATTAAGGACACGGGCATGTTTTTAAGTTCTCAAAATACCGTTCACCAGATAAAAATAGGCACCAGGCCTAGATGGTGTATGGCAGGCTCCTCCTGATCCTGGGATCCTCAAGAAGCAAAGATAGGGGTAGGCCTGGTAATGTTACTGAGGACCTAAAAATGCCTTGGAGGTGAGCCCGTAAAGAGGCATTTTAGTGTAATCCACTCTGGTAACTTTTCAAACCTGGGTCCATTTTTGAGAGCCTGATGGGCCCGCATGTCCTGCCAATGCTCAGCTCTTGGGCCCGGGGCCTGAGTAACCAGCCCCAGTGCTTCAGATAGTTGTAGCAGCTCCTCAGGGCATGGTCTGCGCTGCAGTTGGCCAGGTTTTGTGGAGTTTCATGCTTATACAATTGCAGGGCTTTCAAGAAAAAAAAATTACAAATATCAAGATAGATGTAAACGTTAATTTTACTTATAATGAGAAAATAAATCACAACAAATTACAAATTTTTTAACGCTAACAAATACTACAAACATCACAAAGAATTCCCATGATAGTTTGATAAATTAAATGCCAGTCACACTTGAATATTATTTTTTTATTACATTTTTGGTTGCATACTCTTTGATTGCAATGATTTCATAATACCATTTTGTACAGAGAACTAGAAAGATAATTCAGTCCTTTCTTAGCATGGCAGATCAAATTTGTTTTATCATTTGATCCTTTAGAACAGTTTCTTTCAGGTTCACAATTTGTTATTGGCAATGTCATTAAATGTTTAGGTTTGTTATCAAATTGGGGAAAAACCTTGATTAAGTTTCTTTCATCTGTGAGCTATAAGATTCCAGAGCACTTCAAATCTTCATATACTCTTCAAATTGACTACATTTACTAGCCAATTTGTCTTTGAAAACCTCTTTATAAATGGTGTATTATGAGTTTTTTTATTGTCTACGTTGATATCAGTAGTTTGTGTCAAGTCATCAAAAAATGTAAAGATAGGAATTTTGATAAATTGTATTTTGAACAGTGTCCATTAAAAAAGAAAAGAATGCATGGTACATTTTTAATCACGTATGCTGTTCTGAGTATATTGCCGACAGGACAAAGCTTGTTTTGACTGGATGTCAGTAAGGCCAGAATCCTCTGCTTATACTTATGCACATCTGACAACTGGAAGAATTTTCTTCAGACTAGCTTCTGGCTTCACATATTTTCAAAACTTGATTCTCCTCTACTGACACATACTTCCAGTGCCAAGTGCTGTAGGACACATTTAGATCTTGATTTGAACTCTGGCCTTGCCCCCGTAGGTCATAACATCAGGTAGTCAGCACAGTGGCAGGTAAGAGGCTTTTGGGGTTATTCCTTCACCTGGGCAGTGGGTAATAGCTCAGCTGTGCATGGAAGTAGCTGTAAACCATGTGAATAGATCCCAAACGGAGTGTATCCCCAGCTAAACTTCCCCTTAGCTGGATTCCAAAAATGCCTGTGGCCACTGCAGTGCTATCTGACACATGGGGAAATGTGAAGGAGGGGAAGTCAAAGGGGAAGTAGACAGCAGTCTTAACCTACTGAGGTTAAAATATCTTACTTTTTCCAACTTTACAAAAACAAATGACCTTGTGAACACATTTCTGGGGGCTTGGAAGAGTCCTTTGTGCAATTGGGGACCCTGAAGCTTTAGCTTCCTTAGCTCCACAGTAAATTCATCTCTGCCCTACCCAGAACATGTACCCAAGCACAGTTATAATGAAGAGGTATATATAAAGTTGGAAATATTCAAGTTAGGAATGATTCACACATATAATGGCTTGTATGGCTTCCTGAGGAACCTTGTGCTACTGATATCCTGACCCATAGTCTAGCCCCGCCTACCCTCCCATCCTGTCCCTTTCTAATCACGTCCCGGAGCCTCTGCTCAGTCCCTGCTCTCCTACCTCACTCACTGCCTCCAGCTGGGGCTCAGGGTTAGCAGAAATGAGGGTTAAACAGGAATCTGTGTATATCTTAAAATATTGAATTTATTTTCTCACAGAAACAATGTTCCAACAAAGGATTTGTACCT